GAAAAAAAAAAAAAAAAAAAAAAGAAAATGATATGAAAATGAAAGGTACACACGCAGACACACACACGTACAAGTGTATATCTATTTGTTCCAAGATTTTCATCCGCGGTATTTATCCTATGGACGATCAGCATCGCGAAATACGTTGTAATAATTTATTAACTTTTTCACGTAGGACCAAGCGACTCCCCTTTCTTCCCCTATCTCCACCTCCTAACTTTCCTGTACATTTTCCTTTTAATTTCCCCTCCTTCGTACTTCCGGTGATCCTGTGAATCGTTAACTGTCTCTCCACAGTTATTTGAGATTTTTTCGGCGTCTCGTTCGCCTCTTTCCAGGTAGAACGCAATCAATGTTTTAATCGTCAGACTATAACGTTAAAATTGTCTATTTTATATATGATTTTGTTAGATGAAATTGTTAGCCAGAGGATGATATATTTGATTATGCTACTGATTGAGAGAAGAGGATTGTTAAAAGAAAAGAAACAAAAAGAATTATTCAGGAAATAGCGAATTAAACGATATCATTGTAACGTTATTATTATTATTATTATTATTATTATTATTATTATTAATACTATTGAAACATAGCGTTAATAGTCTGAATTCTTAATCGCGCCATTTAGAATACATTGTTCCACCATGTTCCCTCCACTTTCGAATGATAACAATTTGTAGGATCTAGCGTTATCTTTTACTACCCTGTTAGATCGCGATATTAATTAACGTTAAATCTTTCCGATGAAGAAATATGAATGTCAAATAATTTCTACACTTGGTAAAATAATCTTATATATACGATGTTACAGCTTTGATAATATCTTATATATAACGTTATGTCATTATTATACCCTGTGCAATAATAATATGAATTTTACGTACACTAGCCGTTGCATTTATTATCGCCCGAATCGACCAATACAAATAAAATAAAGCAACGATCGTTTAAAACAAGCAGAATCTGACGCCAGAAGTATTGAAAATATCAAAGAAATTAATTTGTAGTGGACAAAAAGAAAATAGCGAACACAGAGAAATTTCTATTTTCTCATGTAAATAAATAAAAAATTATTAGGATCCTATTTTTTAACGTGCGAAAGTTTTATTTAAGCAGTAAGATGACCATAAATCTGTGTTCTACCTGCGTAGGAGGAACACGGGCGCCATTTTTATAAAGTCCGATGTGTCGGGATAAAACTAAAATATATCATGTCGATACTGCCATGTACTAATTACATAAGAAACACCAATTGCCTACGATAACTCTGGTAATTTTCTTTTTTCGCCATGGCGATTTTTCCCCGGATGTTTTTCATAGTAATTCGTTGCTAATCTATGCTTTGTCTCGTCTTACTTCGAAACGACCATTGAACGTTACGGGCGAAGCGTTTAAATTTAATCGACGTATTTATAGCCGATGTCTCTGGAAGCGATTTTCTTTGAACTGCTTGTATAAGGAAAATAAAATACGAATGAAAGTCGTACGTTGGTCGTAAATAATGGAAATTATTTCTTGCGACGTCGATTTATATGTTTTCAGGTATCGCGTGTTCTTTTCATCGAGACGACTCCGATAATTCCATCGATTAGCGCATTTCAATAATGGGCGCTCGTTGCTTCTAAATCGATCTTATCGATTTGTAAAATGGCTGGAAGCTATTTTTTAAGTTTATTTATATAATAAAGTATCTAAACGTCTCTACACGCACGATACTGTAACAGGTAGTAATAAAACAGAATAAGTGTATTGATAGGGTCGACTTGGAAGACGGAACTATCTAAGTAAGCGGCTGTTCGATGTACAGGTTATGTGAGAAGCAAAGATCACAAATGAATATCGATATCTAAGCAAAAGTCATGAAAGCTGTCTGAAGAGTTACGATACGATAACGTGTTGGAAAAAAAAAAATGATTGTGTTTAGGGTAAGTTACTTGCAATAAATAGAATGGAAATGAATTCTCTCTTCTATTTCTCCCAAGATTAGTGGAATACTACCGCAGTACCTAAAAATCAATCGTGCAGTATATATACAAATTTTATGCTTTGCCTTTAACTCGAAAATCGTTTGAAAGGAAATTTATCCTTGTTGTATTAATAAAAACGTCGTAATTTTATTATCAAAATTAGTCAAAATAACTAATTGTAAGTATACCATCCGTGTTTTCCCACGTCGAACAGGTTCTACCAATTTTTAGATACATATTCCGTTTCTTCGCCTTTTGGAAACATCTTCGTTCCTCTTATCCTCTCCTCTCTTTCTATTCGACATTTCTCGAGAATTTCTTCTCCTCTCCTGGCACTGACGAAAAGGAATCTGGAGATCGAATCATAATCTTTATTGTAATAATAATCGTACGCAACATAGACAAAGGATTGTTTGTTAGATAGTAATTAATCCTCCGTGCGGTGATGCGAACAAACGCGAAACTGTTGTTTTTTTAATGAACAAAAATTTTGAGTTTCTTCCTTCCACGAATGTGAATATTTATAAATAAAATGTAATTTATTGAAAAAGAAAATTAGACATTTTTTTATCTATCTTTATCATTTACCGATATACAATCTATTAAAGAAAAAAATATTCTGTTCGTGAATGACGAAGAAATGTCTTTACAGAAGCTTGCATTTAGACGCGATTGAAAGAACACATTATATTCGACGCGAGAACCCTAGACAACAAAAGGAACGAAAGTAAAAAATGCGCGTTGCATTTCCACGTGGCTCATTTAATACTTGAAATGCGCCGTCTATGTTCTATGCGACGAGAAATATAATTGTAATGAGATCTTATTTTATAAGAGGATGTATTCCGTAAAAAAATGCTATCCTAGTAATGAGAAGTCTGTCTAAAACTAGACAAAAATCCCATAGGCCAGGTGGACAAATGAATAATAATTTTAAAAGTGAATATAATTAATATTTAATGATAACGATAATTAACAATATTATTTTTTAAGAATGCGTATTGTCTAACCTCCGCTCCTCCCCTTCTGGATCGCCCTCGAGGATCCATGAAATATATATTACATATATGTGTATATATACTCGTGGTCAGTGCACACATATATAAGTATATACATGTATATGTATTTGTTTTTAAAAAAAAAATAATCGCTCGCCGGTGAAACAATAAATTATAGTTTTTTCTTTTCTACTGTTTTACATTCTTGGTCTACGTATACACACGAGTATGACGATTCTATCGGTCCATCCATGAAGTTCCTAGGACCTATGATCTACACGTAGTATGTCCAACAAGTCGGTGCAAATAAACAAGATAATAAGATAAATATAGCCATTGCCTAGCGAATATTAATTATCTGTTGACTTTCAAAATGAACAGGGATTAATGACCAAGAACTTGTTTCGTAACTTTGTTTATTCTATTATTTATATTCGAAATTCCGTTACTTATATGAGCAATAATCATATCTCATAAAAATAGCGAATAAATGAACGTTCTTGGAATATTTCTATTTCGTAATATTACGTACTTGATACTTGTTGGATGTGCTATACATACACGAATTGATCAAAGTTGTAGATCATGGTACCGCAACGGTACCAATGAATCTCACAAATTACATTTCATTCGCGAAAAAATTGCGTTATTTCCATTGTGGGCGTTTAAGTTAACCAGACACGTTATTATTAACAGAAATTAACAATAATTGCACTATGTTAGTATAACGAACAATAATGTATGTCATCGCTCCTATTCTGTAAATAAACACTGTGCCGTATGAGAACCTTTCAATTTTAAAATGTAATTTTCTTTGATGCGTTACAGGTTAAACAAGAAAGACAGACACTTGTGTACTAGAAAATATCACTTTGCGAATTACAAAAACTGTATGGAACATGTCATTTTTCACAACATACTTAAAACATCTTATCCGAGAATGATCACACAATCCTAAAACGTTTCTCTTAAAAATAAAATCTCTATCAAACGTCCATTCGAAATTCTTACAGCGATGGTCTATTATATAAATTAAATATCTACAATGAGAGCCCATAAGAATAATAGAACAGTACGTTTGTTCTTCTCTTTTTTGTTAAATACGAACTCGCAGCAAAATGAGCGAATGAACACGTACACATTCTTTCGATATTGCTAATATGATATAATGTCACAATTGTATTTTTCAATGACCAATCATGTTATTTATGGGATATCGATTTATAAAATATTAAACTGTAAAATATTCAAAGTTCAATCACCACATACGATATACAATATAGATAACTACGATTTACGTTTTCCTTTAAAAATGTAGAAAGATTACACTATAAATTACTCTTAAGAAATGGTTTTAAGTATTTTTCAAAAGATATGTTCACAGTTTCACGATTAAGAGGATTCTTCATGGCATCTTGGAACAATTCGTAAACGTTACCATCGTAAGCATCGTAAGTTTCAAAGCCTTTCGATTCTAAAATGTAATTTTCTTTGAGGCGTTATAGGTTCAACAATAAAAATATACATTTTTCTAGTTCAAGATATTATTTTATTAATTCTAGAAACTGTATAGAAAATACCATTTCCCATAACATATTTAAGACGTCTCATCTCAGAATTATCGCATATTTCCAGGAAGCTTTTTATAAATATAAATTCTCTATCAAACATTCATTCACAATTATTACAGCGATGCTTCTTTATATAAATCACACATTTACAATAACAGCAAATAGAAATGGTACAAAAATACGTTCGATCCTTCCTTTGTTTTTCAATATAAACTCTCAGTAAAATGGA